TTGTTATTGAGCCAACCATACCCAACAGTTCAACAACAGGGCTCTTCTCCACCGACACATCTCAACACATTGAATCTGAGAGCTCTGATTCATCCTTCGCATCGTCACAGTTTGCTAAGACTACTATTTTTGCAACCTTTTCTCCAAGTGAAGATATTTTTGAATCATCTAGCCCGTTTCTCTCATCAACAGAGCTCTCTTTCACCGATACATCGCAAAGTGGTGCTCATGCGTCGCCACAACTTGATACAACCTTCTTACCCTCAGTTCAAATTGAAAAGATCCCTGGATCGTTAAGTTCTATCCATCCAACAGCTGAACTCTTATCTTCAAGTGCACCTTCTGAGGACGTAATTATTCGCTTTTTTGATGATGATGATCTATATTCCAAATCAACACATCCTTCATCTGACAGGCCAGATATTACCTCAAACAGGAAGTATATCACAAGCACTACTGACGGCCAGGTAGATTCTCCACTTACTACTACCACTTCTATCTTATCTGAACATCTCAATTCTGTTCAAAGTCGAATACCTACATATGATTCAACATTAGTCGAACCAATCTACGACTCGTCAGGCCTTATCACTGCAAACACGATTGATTCAAAATACCTACTTTCCACAGTTGGATCTCATACTGTCTCCACTAACACAGAAACGTCCTTTTTTACCGAATTTTCCGAATCGATCTTGATAACTACCACCTCCCAGGACTCTTCTTTTTCTTCCCCAACTGATGTCTCTGCGTTCTTATCGGAATCACCAGATGAAGATACACATCATGACGATGAAATAAGACAGACTTACCAACGAACATTTATCCCTAGCATACACACCAGTACCCAAGCAAATGATCTGACAGACCTTGCTACTACACACTCCGAAAATGCAGCCATTGAAACATCTAAGGAATTAGCTCCCAACAACGACATGTCGCTCTTTGATTGGCTCTGGATTAAATCAAAAGCAGCCTTAAAAAAAAGGCGTAAAAGGCCCTCAAATCCTACTACGGTTCCTTT